TTGAAGATTTGCTATTGTCCTCACCTAAAACATCACCCTCACCCCTTCCCATGAAACCAGGTTGCCTATTTCGGTCCAAATTTAATTTTTAGAACTTTATGCTGTCTTCTGTTGTGTGTATATCTGTTTCTGATACTTTAAAAAAGTCACATTTATGTTGTGCTCGTCTCCACCAATAGCTTGTAAGTTCCTTAAGGATCAGTTCAGTTCAGTCGCTCAGTCGTGTCCGACTCCGCGACCCCATGAACCGCAGCACGCCAGGCCTCCCTGTCCATCACCAACTCCCGCAGTTTACTCAAACTCATGTCCATCGAGTCGGTGATGCCATCCGGCCATCTCATCCTCTGTCATCCCCTTCTCCTCCTGCCCCCAATCCCTCCCAGCATCAGGGTCTTTTCCAATGAGTCGTGGCCAAAGTATTGGAGTTTCAGCTTCAGCATCAGTCCTTCCAATGAACACCTGGGACTGATCTCCTTTAGGATGGACTGGTTGGATCTCCTTGCAGTCCAAGGGACTCTCAAGAGTCTTCTCCAACACCACAGTTCAAAAGCATCAATTTTTCAGTGCTCAGCTTTCTTCACCGTCCAACTCTCACATCCATACATGACCACCGGAAAAACCATAGCCTTGACTAAGATTGCCGGGAGAAATATCAATTACCTCAGATATGCAGATGACACCACCCTCCTGGCAGAAAGTGAAGAGGAACTAAAACGCCTCTTGATGAAAGTGAAAGAGGAGAGTGAAAAAGTTGGCTTAAAGCTCAACATTCAGAAAACTAAGATCATGGCATCTGGTCCCATCACTTCATGGCAAATAGATGGGGAAACAGTGGAAACAGTGTCCGACTTTATTTTTTTGGGCTCCAAAATCACTGCAGATGGTGATTGCAGCCATGAAATTAAAAGATGCTTACTCCTCGGAAGGAAAGTGATGACCAACCTAGACAGCATATTAAAAAGCAGAGACATTACTTTGCCAGCAAATGTCCTTAAGGATAGGAACACAATATTGTTTCTTTTTTTCATTATCATAATGCAGGACTTATCAGTGTCATTGACAACCATTTACACCTAGCAAATACCATGCTCCTCGGCTGTCCCCTCAAGCTTGGGTAGACTATATCGCTTTGAACTCAGATTAATCTTTTACATTTGCTATTTCTTCAGGTTCCATCTCAAGTTTTAACATGTCTCAGGTCTTAACAAAAGCACACTGTGGATGGATTCAGGTGACCAGGGCATCCTTGGAAAATTGAGAAAACATAAGATCAGGAGCAAATTCACAATTCTTTCACCTCCCATCTACCCAACAGATGCCTGACTCTGCATTTATGTCCAAAATATTAGAGTCTTACTTATTCACATACCATGAAATTAAAAGACGCTTACTCCTCGGAAGGAAAGTGATGACCAACCTAGATAGCATATTAAAAAGCAGAGACACTACTTTGCCAGCAAATGTCCTTAAGGATAGGAACACAATATTGTTTCTTTTTTTCATTATCATAATGCAGGACTTATCGGTGTCATTGACAACCAGTCCCATTTACACCTAGCAAATACCATGCTACTTGGCTGTCCCCTCAAGCTTTGGTAGACTATATTGCTTTGAACTCAGATTAATCTTTTACATTTGCTATTTCTTCAGGTTTCCATCTCAAGTTTTAACATGTCTCAGGTCTTAACAAAAGCACACTGTGGGTGGATTCAGGTGACCAGGGCATCCTTGGAAAATTGAGAAAACATAAGGTAAGGAGCAAATTCACAATTCTTTCACCTCCCATCTACCCAACAGATGCCTGACTCTGCATTTATGTCCAAAATATTAGAGTCTTACTTATTCACATACTCATCAGCAGCAGGTGTGTGTATTACATTATTTATAGTGTAAGTTTCCAGAAATATCACTTTTCTATTAAGCTATGTTGTCTAAATTATAATATGGTACTATGTTCCCAGTCTCTTAGTTATTGATAACAGTTAAACCAAAAACAAATTTTTAACAAATTTTATTTTTGTGTATTGTTATTTAAATTTGTGTTTCCAAACAAAACAAACAAAAAAAAAAGAAAGAAAATGCATCATAAATGATGTCATCTTCTATATAAGCCTTGCTTAAGTCCTAGCCATGATCCTGTTACTTGCTGTGAGAGCCAGACCAGGTAGTAAAAGCGCTCTGGGAATAGTGCGTTGTTCACATAGACCTTTAAATGTGAAGAATTTAGGTCCAAACATGTACTTGTGTTTATGTGCAATATTCACTTCTTTTCAGGATGTCTCAAACTGACCCCAAACAACTTTTCTTGCGGACGCCTGCCCTCCAGGACTAGTATTAGTCATTTAATTGCTCTTCTATCACTCAGGGTGTGAGCCTGACTCTGAGATCATTGTACTAATTTAAAATACTTGGAAACTGGCAGAAAGACAGACTTGAGGATATATTGACTACATCCTGGTTTTAGGAGGCCTCACGTTTTCCATTGTGCTGAAAATGTCAAATTTTGCCCTCCAACATTTTTCTAAAAAACTCTCTCCAATAAAAAGTCTCAATAGCAAAATAAAAAATGAAAAACTAATGAATAGTTGAGAGTTAAGGAGGCATGGTAAGAATACTGTTCTGTAGTTTTATTACAGTTCTGGCCAGGAAAAAAAAAGGATACAATACTACTGAGATCTCTGTGTCACGTGACTGAGACTGCTTGTAGGAGAGCCTTGGGAAGTGTTCCTGGGGGTGAGAAGTTTGGATAAAATAATGAAGAAAAATGGCAAATTGATCCAGGCTATTATTTGTATTTCTAATTTGAACATTATGTAAGGCTGCTTCCCTTAGACTCAGGAGGAGCTTATTAAAAATGGCCCACAGGCCTGTGGGTCAGCCTCCTCTGGGGACGGTATTCAGGGAATCCACCTTCTTAACAAGACATCCTAAATGATTCTCATGCTCAGGAAAGTTTGAGGGCCACTATATACATAAAAGTGAAGTGAAATTCGCTCAGTCATGTCCGACTCTTTGCCACCCCATGGACTATACAGTCCATGGACTATTCTCCAGCCCAGAATACTGGACTGGGTAGCCTTTCCCTTCTCCAGGGGTTCTTAGTAAAGAAAAATATTCATCAAGGTCTATGTGCTATATTAGATATTGAAATAAAAGAGTCAATAAGCCAAATCACTTCAAGAATTTCCAAAAGCAAATTATGACACTAAAGAAAGTGAACCCAGTTATGTGTTCCTATAGAGTTTACCCAAAATTTAAAGACTGAGTTTTTAAGGAGCTTACTTTTAGCTACTTTAAATGGAAACAAATTTTCTCATCAATTGAAATAATCTAACCAACTTATGTAACATGTTCATAAAATGTTTTATTTTTTAACTGTTACAATCAGAACATTTGGAGAATTTATTGCTCTAAACCACTCTAGGATGTTTTGGCAGAACTAGGGGGCAAAGCAAGTTCTTTAACTCTTTGAGTTTCTTTATCTTAAAATTAAATGGTAGAGTTTTAAGAGCTCTAATAGTCTACCTGGCTCTCTTTCTATGTTTCATTGAGTTCTCCATGCATCACATTCCAAGAAGGGAACTGAAGTCTTCATTTGACAGGAAGGGAGGCCACAGAAGGGGGAGTCTTGTATCAGTCGCTCATGGATGTTGGAGCAGGGATCTCAGCAGGGCCCCTTAGAGCCAGTGAGGAGTCAGAGCATCCTTTTGAGGGTGCCCAGCTCTAACTGTGTCTTGGTGTGTGAGGTGGTAACACATCTTCTGGTTTGATTTCCCTCATTTTAGGGGTGGACACAGTAATGATAACTGTTCTCACTGTGTCATTATTTCCCAGGGGATGAGCAGACGTGTTTAAGTCACAGGGTGGGTATTCTGTAAGGTTTCTTTATGCACTGTGAAGATGTGGCTTATTCACTGCCTTAGTTTGCCTTCTCGAACAAGCACATTCAGGGCTCATGATGTTTCAGGAACTGATTGGAGAGCTTCACTTTCATAGTAACTCTTAATCCTTATAACAAGCCTGCAAGGAACTATTACTATCCTATTATACAGATAAGGAATCTAAGTTACATAACCTGTCTCCCATGGTCACCCAGACAGCAAGCCAGGCAGCAGTCTGGGTGCACAGTCTGGTCTTAATCTTTGTTCTGCTAGCCTACATGGAAGGTCAGAGAACAAGACATGGGTGAGGGGGTGGGAACAAACAATACTGTTTGTAAAAGACAGCATAAATTTGGTCTCTCAGACATGTCTGACTCTTTGCCCATGTCAGTCATGTCTGACTCTTATAGCCCATGGACTGTAACCCGCCAGACTCCTCTGTTCATGGGATTCTCCAGGCAAGAATACTGGAGTGGGTAGCCATTCCCTTCTCCTGGGGATAGTCCCAACCCAGGGATTGAACCCAGATCTCCTGCATTGCAGGTGGATTCTTTACCATCTGAACCACCAGGGAAGCCCAAAATTTGGTGTAGTGAACAGATATTATCATAGCACAGTAGAACATCTAAAATGATGTGTTAACCTAAAAAACATCCAACTGTTGAGGCGTTCTTTTGAAGAGCCTTTATTCTGGCATTGGAAATGTTTACAAAGCCTTTAAAATCTTTACATCATCCCCTCACAGGCACACCAGTGTGCAAGGACATGCTGAATCTTGCAGTAAGAGTTGCAACATTTCTTAAACATCCTCTTTCCTACGTCTTCCTATCACACGTCTCACAGGAATAGTAACTCACGAGGAACGTTTTCCCTGATCTATTTAGAACTATCAAAACTCTCCCCAGCTCAGCAGAACCACGTTCCACTGGCAACTTCAGAATGCTGGCTGTTCTCTTTATTATTAAATCATTACACTTGGCCTCTTTTTTAAAAATGAAAATCCCTTTTACATGGGCTAAGAGTAAAAGTTTAACATGTTGTAGGGATAAATTTCATTACAGAAATAATCACTACATAATAATAATCACTAATAATCACTAATAATCATTTCCTTCTTACCTGGTGTATTTCACCCTGGTGCCTCCAATCTTGACTGTGAGGTTAGGTTTTCTTTAAACAGGATATTTTATAAAACACCAAAATGATTCATTAAGAATAACAATGGACTGGAAACTACTGTACCTAAAACAACATATAATAAAATTCAGTATAATTTTTACAATAAACTGAATGATAGGTATGTATAATATTAATTTCCAATCTTGCCTTGTGAGTAGATTTATTTAGCTAATTAGAAGTAAGAAAAGAATTCTGCTCAGGGTTGATTTCAGTGGTTACATTTTTCTACTGCTCAAATTCTGCCAAACTTCTTAAGTAAAAGGAGATTTTGCCCTGGGATATTTCTTCCATACTTCAAGTTCCTTTTGCTACAAGTAGACAATTCTCTGCCTTTGCTTATGTAATTGTTCAGAGTATACTTTAAGTAAAAGTTCTATCCTTCATGTTTCTAAAGGGTTCACCCAGCCACACGCTCTGCCAAACGCCTGCCCTTAATTACTTCTTGCCTGAAGGACCGTTTCCCTTGACTGAAACATGACCGGGAAGCTTTCTACTTCCCTGAATTCTCCATCTTCTTGCTCATCTGACTTTATGTTCTTTCCCTCTGTGAGCTTTGACTGAACACCTACTCACACCACACACTGTTGGGCATGGAGGTTACCAACACAAATATTAATAAAAGACACTCTGTTCTCTGGAAGCTTACCCTTTACAGAGGGACAGATGTGTAAACAGACTCCTATGATCTTATCGGATCAACGCTATGCTAGAGATTTGCTTAGGTACCATGGCAACCTACAAGGAAGATAACAATCGTATCCTAGCAAAGTGAGACAGAGAAGACTTCAGAGAAAAAAATCAAGTTTTCAGAGTAAATCAAGTTTTTAAAAGGAAGCTGAAGTTAGATTATGAGTGATGAAAGAGAAGGGTACCCTGAAAGGAAAAGCAGCACATGCAAAGACAAGAGAGTTGGTGCATTAAGGAAACCCAAAAGAAGTTGGTGTGGCTGGGCGTGAAGTGTGCAGGAGAGATGGGGACATTGGGAGAGCAGAGGACATCGGGACTGGGTCATGAAGGGTCTTTCCCTCTATACTAAGGCTCTTGGCTTTGCTCTGAAAATATTCATTACAATGCCTCACTACGCAGAAACCACTGATGGTTTGTTTTCTAGCAACAAAATTTATCCCCAAAGGAACATTGTAAAATTGACTCAAAGAATGCCTTGAGATACATTTGGTGATGGACTTAGTAGTTCTTGGTTTCCTAAGGCAAAAACACCAATCACTTCTATATTTCTAACTTAAAACATATAGTTTTGTTTTTAAAATGTTGATAACCAGGAGCTGGATTATATAATAAGTAAGTGCAAGTAGTATGAGAAAATAACCAAATTCAAATTTTCCACTAATTTGTAGCTCAGTGCACAACTCTGAGAACAAAAACAAGTTACCATATCTAGTTCTAAACCCTGAGAATAATATTTTATTGAGAAAACCTTTTCTGCCTTCCCTCATTCTTTCCCTCCTTCCCTCCCTCTAATCCTTCCTCTCTCTCTCTCTCTCTCTCTCAGTCAGTCAGTTCAGTTGCTCAGTCATGTCCAGTCTTGTCCAGCTGTTTGCAACCCCATAGACTGCAGCACCCCAGGCCTCCCTGTCCATCTCCAACTCCCGCAGTTTACTCAAACTCATGTCCATTGAGTCGGTGATGCCATCCAACCATCTCATCCTCTGTGGTCCCCTTCTCCTCCTGCTGTCAATCTTTCCCAGCATCAGGGTCTTTTCCAATGAGTCAGTTCTTTGCCTCACAGATTACCAGTGGGTAATTAACTTTGTTAAAGAAAAAAATGCATTGGACTGAGTTAAATAGGTGAAGAAAATTCTATCCAGTGCTATTGCAGAAAGGGAGAGAGAGTGACTTCAAATTGCCTCAGACAAAAAGCAGAATTTTTAAGCACTAGCATGAAATAGTGGAAAAAGAGTGGAAGAAGTTAGGAAGGATGCTGGCCAATAGAATTTGGACACCTGTGTTTGAACCTTTTATGATAGGCTCCAATCTTCCCATAGGGAGTGTGCTGTCTCAATCTGCTCAGACTGCCTTAAAGAAATACCNGTATTCCCAAACCAGCTATCATCATGTGAACCCTTATGTCAGGCTCTGCTGCTGGGGAGTTTCCAGCCAAGGCACATGATGTTAAGAAGTACTAGGAAGGAGTCCAGAGGTTTTAGATAAAAGTAATGTGGAGATATCACACAGCCAGGGGTCACAGGAGGTAGAATTGGAAGAAAGTAGAAGCAAGACTCTTGATGAGAAGATTGCTAGAGTCTAAGGAAAGATTGTAAAGGCAGAATTAGGGCACTCGGGGGTTGGAGGGTGGAGACCAACGTGGAGGCTCTGGGCAGGTGTTATGGTAGTAGATGGGGAGACAGTAGAATCAAGGCCTTGGAGGAGACTGATAAGGATTGGTCAGAGGAAGAGCAGAAGGCTAGGAGAAAAGGTTATCCATTCTAGGAGGGAAGAAGCAGCCGATTGTTCCAGGAACTATGGAGAGATGGCATTGTGATGCTTCCACTGGATTGGGAATTTGAATCATTAATGATCTTCCACAAATCCCTTTTCATAGGATGATGAGGACAGAATTCTGTTTGTAGTAGATTAAAGAACAGTGGAGCTGACCAAGTGATTATAAACCAATCTTTAGAAGAATTCAGCTATAAAAATAAGGAAAAAGAGATTGGTGGTTAATGGTAAGAGCTTTAAGGCCAGAGAGGGTGTTTTAAAAATTTTTTTTGGAGTATAGTTGCTTTACAATGTTGTGCCAGTTTTTGCTATACAACAAAGTGAATCAGCTATGGATATACATATATGCCCTCTTTTTTGGATTTCTTTCCTATTTAGGTCACCACAGAGCATTAAGTGGAGTTCCCTGTGCTATACAATAGGTTCTCATTAGTTATCTATTTTATACATAGTAGTGTAAATGCCAATCCCAGTCTCCCAGTTTATCCCACCCCTCCTTTGGTGTTTGTTCTCTATGTCTGTGTCTCTATTTCTGCTTTGCAAGTGGGTTCATGTGTAACATTTTTCTAGATTCCACACATATGCTTTAATATATATTTGTTTTTCTCTTTCTGACCTCACTCTGTCTGACCATCTCAAGGTCCATCCTTGCTCTGCAAATGGCACAGTTTTATTCCTTCTTATGGCTGAGTAATATTCCATGGTGTATGTATATATATGTATATATATATATATATCAGATCTTCTTTATTCATTCCTCTGTTTTTAAAGGCAGGAGTGGCTTACCCTGATGTGTGAATGGCAATGATAGAACAAACACAGGTGAAAAGGGCTGAAAGTATGCCAGTTAGCACTATAAGTTCTTTGCTTTGGAAGAGATGGTGGGGAGAGGATGAAATCAAGCACACAGAAGGAGGTTAACCTCACATTGCCAAGTTCAAGAGAAATTGTTTGCATGCCAGACACCTCAGGGGATGCAGGAAGTCAGGAAGCTGGTCTCAGACGGATGTCCATTGTGAAATCTCCTCTTTTAATTGTTTTGATGGATTCCTGAAAACTTATGCTCATGAAGAAAGTCAGAGTGCTTGTTGCCAGTGCGACCCCGTGTCTTCATCTGTGTACTACAGAAACAGAAGGTGAATATAACCAAGGACCGACAGTGAGGGAAAAAAGGAGTCAATTTGGCAAACGGAACTGTAAAGTTTATGGTGCTAGTGATTTTCAAACATTTTCAGAAGCAATGGAGAGAAGAATGAAAAGAAAATGAGTTTATTTTTTCTAAAATGCATTTTTTTTTTAATTTCTGCTTGCTAACATCATCTAAATGTCTGTATTTTGGAAGTATAAATACTGCACCATGTGTGTGGATTAGTACTACTCATCACCCTAGCAGTAAACAAGTAGATGAACACTCTAAGTTTTAATGGTGTTGGTTGCTACTTTACATCAACTTACTAAGTTCTCTAAGCTCTAAGTGTGTACGTGAGCACTTTTAACATCCACTCCTTCCCACCAAAAAAAAAAAAAAGGAAAGAGCTCTCAATATTTATCCTAAATATAGTTCTGCATGACCTCTGTCTGCCATGTACAGACTTAGTGGGTTTTAGTTTTTCAGATCTTCTTTTTTGGTGTCTAATTTCCTAAAGTCCAAGACAGCTGTCTGGGGGCCTGAGAGCCAAGACGATGAACATGCAGATACCCAGGAAATGGTTTTCTTACAGCAAAAGCTCTATTCAGCTCTGAGCATGTCCTTATTCTTGCCTGATGGTAGAGTTTCATAAATTACAATTAGCGCTAAATTCAGACATATCCTTTCTTGCTGATGGGGTGGTTAAGGTTAACTTCTTTAGCCTGCTTTAATTTAAAACAGGCCAGATCTAATTAAAGTCATCTCCAGATTCTAGTCGTTTGACATTTTAACTGTGTATTCTGTAGGAAAACAAAGTGTACAGATATTTTGCATATTAAAGCAATGGAAAATATTAAAATCTTTCTGTGAGCGTTCAAAGAAGATTTGTTTTTATTTCTAGGCAGTAATACTTTCTATTTTAACCATTGTTTCCTCATCAGTCTGAGAAAAGAAAGCATTTTGTCTCCTCTTCAAGTTGGGGTTTCTAGAAGAGGAGGTTAATGCTACTTTCCTGCGAACTAAAACCAGAGTGCCCTTGTAGTATCTGCTTGGCTAAAGTTAGGGTTTCTTAAACTTGGTTAAATCTCAACAGTCCAAGTAAGATAGAAGACTAAACAATTAACCACTTAATCTAAACCATGTTAACAATCAATCTAAGTAATTCTAACATCCAATCCTTTCACCTCCTGAACTATTGATGGAGACAAATCTATAAAGCAGCATATTGGTGATGAAACAGCGCTCAGATGAGTCATTTAGGACATGAAGTAGACAGTTCAGTTTCTAACAGAAAGTGTTTGGAACCCCTCTGGATGACTTATATTGGTATTGTCCAATGGCTAAGCTGGAAATTTTCAGTCATGTCCAGCTTGCACTTCTGTAATGTTGTTTAATTATATGACATTCTCTTTTGCTTTTATATCCTACATAGTAGTTTTGCACTTTAGTAAATGACTTTCACCAAACACATACAGGCCACTTTGCTTTTAGATTACTTTTCTTCACGTTAACTAAAAATCCTCTGATTTGCCATAAAGGCAGTTTTGGAAGTCATTGCATTAGAAATAGAGAACTGCAGGAAATCCCAGGGAATTTCTGGTCCTGACTCTTAGAGATAGGAAATCTGAGGCCAAGAGAGGCAAAGTCAACTACCTAAACTCAAACAGCTTGTTACCAGTTGTGAAAGACCAATTACAACATGATTGTAATTGTTCTTGCCACTTGGCATTCACATCCATTGCCATGTGACTTCTCAGCTGCTTCCATTAAAAGGAGGCATCTACTTGCCCACACATTGAATCTATGCTTGCATTGTAACTTCCTTTGGCTAAGGGAAAGCAGGAGAAATAAAGATGCCCATTCTGCTGCAATAGATAACTAATGCATAGTTTGTTTTATTTTACTTTTTAAAAAAATGCCCAGAGTATTCTAGAAAATCATCAGTAGTCAGATTTTTTTTCTCAACTTCCCCTTCCAGGTACTTTGCAAAGTTTCAAATATTTGATTTTTCTGCTTGTATGTTGTGTCATTTCTTTTAGAGCTTCTGTCTCATGAAGCTTTCTAAATGTGTTCTCTAACTTTCAGTTTTTAGGAACATCTTTGGGTGAAGTGGAATTTTTGATGGTTCTAT